ATTGTTGTTTGGCGGGTCCGGGCTGGGGATTCGAACCCGCCACCTTAGGTGTACGTGGCTGGCGCCTTAGCCGGTTGAGCTATAGGCGCCGAGCCTACATGTGATTTTTAACAGTTACGTTGTCTTATTCTCCACAGGTATGTTTGCAATTCGTGCTGATCATGATTTCGTAGTACAGGAAGACTTTATGAAAGCAGTCAGGAAAGTGGCAGATTCTAAGAAGCTGGAGTCTAAATTAGACTACAAACCTGTGTAACTAACTGCACGGTTTTTGATGGCTGCATGACAGACATTGGCTTAATGTAAAAATAAAATAATGTATATATTGGCAATAATCTCATTAAAAATGTATGAATAAAAATATGAGTAACATAAGAATTAGTAATTCAATAATTCAACTCCTAAGTTACAGAAGAAATTTGTATGTTTGTTAATGTTGCGTTTATTGCAGCAGAAGTTAATGAAAGAAGGGTGTGTTGAAGCTTTTTGTATTTGCTGTGTGAGCATTTTGTAAAACATCGAAAATGGTTTGAGATGACTTATTTTATATCATTTGTTTTCCTCATCCTAAAAAGTTGAATAAAATGTTTGATTCAGTGCTCCTGCATACATTCTTGTCTCCTCTATACATTCACTGCGGTCCTCTCGGTTCTTTACTAAGTAAACTATATGATGACCCAGATGATACTGTATGTAGATTGCAGGGTTTGAATTTTATTTTGAAATAGTACGCATACTGGTGTTCATAAAATCATCTTGTTATATATAACATGAATGGTGGGATATGGCTGTATTCCTCCTTCCATATTCTTCACCAACTGTTATTACATTATTTGATAGCTAATTGAAAAAATACATGCAGATCCATAACTTTTTCTAGATTATTGTAAAACTAATATTTGTTTATAAATTTGACTTGGTTTTCTTGATTTATGTGAAATGACAGGTCCTTTTTGAGAATGTTATGGTCTGGACCCTCCCTAGGAAAAATCCTCACAACACAATTTTGCATATTCTCTAGGAAATTTATTTCCCAAGCTCCTCCATGAACTCTGGCCAAGAGTGTATGATATAGGGGATGCTGATGTCAGAAGTGTTCAAAACAAAATTTCTGCTAACTATACACAATTCTTTGTCATCTGGTAGCAAAGCCTCTAACAAATTAATGTTTAAGGGTATCATCATTGGCCATCAATTGAGATATTTTATTAAAGGCATTGTTCAAAGACGTTCAACTTTGGTTTTGTAAACCTAAAAATCCAAAAATATATCACCTGGTTACACAGTCGTTCTTCAAATTAATAACTTACTAGCGTAATATGTGTGATTTCATTATTTTAAAAGGCGAAAACAGTTGAAGTAGTGCCAGGGGAAATGCAGCACTCAAGTGGGCCACCTAACACGTGCTGGCAGTGCAGTGCTCCCGCGTGAGACAATACAGGGATGTAGGGGAGGGCTGCGTCCAATACCTCCGTGGTCCTAATGTACATGTAATAAAGGACTATATTGCCTCGTACTTGTGTGCTGCAGTTTTTTTCTCCCCACCCCCCGCCCCCCGCCTTTTATTTAAGAGTATTCGTCTATAAGGAAATGGTCTGCAGTTGTTTTTTTTTTTTAAAGAATCAGTTTAGTGTACAAATCTTTTCCGTGTGGGTTGTTCCATTTCTAAGCCAGAGTTTTCTCATCTGTTTAAAAAATAAAAAGGAGGGCTGCACCTGCTGCTCAGTGGGTAGGGCGGCAGCCCCATACACCGAGGGTGGCGGTTCGAACCGGCCCCGGCTAAACTACAGCAAAGAAATAGCCGGGCATTGTGGCGGGCGCCTGTAGTCCCAGCTACCCCGGAGGCTGAAGCCAGAGAATCGCCCAAGCCCAAGAGCTGGAGGTTGCTGTGAGCTGTGACGCCACATCACTCTACTGAGGGCAAAAGAGTGAGACTCTGTCTCTAAAAATAAATAAGTGGATCATAGTGTCTTTCTAGGCCAAGAGAAAGTATGTTTCTACCTTTTATCAACAATATATACTAGTATTAACTTCTTTTAAACAATAAAGCCATGTCGTTTATGAAAAGGAGAAACCTTACAGTATTGGGTACAATTTACTCAGTGAACTATCAGTTTCTCTTCCGATGACTACAAATTTGCCGTTTTCTTAGAATTTTCTAGTTAATCTAAATTGAGTTATCATATTCCCAAGGATCCTTAAAATATCTTTAGGAATTTTTAAAGTACTGAACTGTTTAATTTTCTATGTAGCAAACGCAGGTTTAAGCCGAACTCCTCATTTATCACTCTTTTAGTTGTAACCTCGCCACAGATCGCACAGAATGCGGAAAGGGGACGAAACCTCGGCTTTCTCGTCAGGGGCCACTTTCTGGCGGGGAGGCTGTTTGCGGGTTTGTCAGAGGAGGGGTTCGCGTCCTGGGGGACCTGGCGCTGACGGTCCAGCCGCCTTTCCCAGGACCTTCACCGGCCGCAGCCCCGCCCCCTCCGCTCCGGGCCGGCTCCGGCTAGCGCCCCAGGCTCCGCCCCCTGCGTCTGCGCTGTAGTGAAGGGGCGGGGCGGGGCGGTGGCGCGCTGACACCTGGCGGCGGCGGGGGGCGGGCCGAAGACGAGCGTGGGCCGGGATTGGCTGGGGTGGCGGGGGAGGAGGGGGCGAAAGAGGAGGGGAGACGGTTGTGGGACGCGTGCCCGTGCCGGATCCTGGGCGGACTGAGGGGCGCGGGGACTCTGGGGGAGGAGACGGCAGCGGCATGGCGGCCGGGCGTAAGGCTCCCAACTCTCCTCTGCCCCGCTGTCGCCGTCGCCGCCGCTGGGGTCGCTGGGACCCTGTAGTCTGCGCGTGTTAGTGGTGAGCTTGTCGCCCGCCCGTCAGCCCTTCGCCCCACCGGCCTCCTTCCTTCCGTCGCCACCGCCAGCCCAAGGGTCGGCCGACGGGATAGCGCCTCGCACCCCCCGCCATCCCGCGGGCCGGGACCATGGAGGACGTGAAGCTGGAGTTCCCCTCCCTTCCACAGTGCAAAGACGACGCCGAGGTTAGTGTGCCCTGATACTGCCACGCACAGGCCTCGTGTGGCTCCGGCCGCGGAGCGACCCCAGGCCCCAACCGCCGCATCCGCCAGCTGCACGGGAGCCCCAGAGGGCGTCCCGGACCCCGGGCGGAGCGGCGCGCTCGGACTCCCCGCTCCCTGCTCCTCGGAGGCCCGGGCGAAGGGGCAGGGTCTAGTGTTTAAATTTGAGGAGGCAAGAGAAAGCAGCCTTAACCCCTAGACTCGGTATCTAGGACTTGCTCGGAGTGAGGCTCCTCTTTTATCGCCAAAGCAATGCAGGGGCAAGCTGTTGTTGATCTCAGGGTGAAGAATATCTTTGGTGTCAGCGACTCACTTGTGGAACTCAGGGCCCCACATGAGGAATAGACCCCGGGGTCTGAAGTTTGTTTGGAAGTGTACCTTCGAAAAGTTTCCCAAAGTTTTTTGTTTGGTTTTAGACAAAGCTGTGACCTGCAGAATAAAATGTCTCAAGCTAGCTCATTTGATTCTCAAAACTTTAATCAGAAATCTTGCCCTTTGAAGGAAACTTGAGTATTGGGAGTAAAATTCTTTATACCTACGTCTCCTGATTTCTAATTCGGGGCTCTTTGACTCCCCCTTACTTCTCTGCCTAACGTTTCTATTGAGATTTGTTTTTCTTTCTGTCTTTCTGGTTTTTTTGATCTACTGTTTAAAATATTTTATGTCATTGCAGACTACTAAATTAGAATTTTATGGAGGCTAAACTAGTAACTGGACAAGGACAGTTATATTTTAGTTAGATCGAGAAAGAAAGAAATCTAAAATTTCTCATTCTAGCCGGGTGCAGGGTACCAGTACTCTGGGAGTCTGAGGCTGGAGGATCCCTGGAGGTCAGGAGTTGGAGACCAGCTGAGCAAGAGCAAGACCCCATCTCTACTAAAAATAGAAAAACTAGTTAGGTGCCATAGTGGGTGCCTGTAGTCCCAGCTACTTGGGAGGCTGAGGCAAGAGGACTACTTGAATCCAGAAGTGTGAAGTTGCTGTGAGCTAGGCTGAGGCCATGACACTCTAGCCTGGGTGACAGAGTGAGACTAAAAATTTCCAGTTTTAAATACAGAATCTTAAAAGTAATTGGGAAAATAAAGCCTTATATTAGGGAGACCATTTGAGTTACCTCAGATCTTCATTCTGTTGAATGTCTTCATTTGAGGTCCATGTTAAAATTTTTTTCTATTTCTATTTTTTTGAGACAGAGCCTCAAGCTGTCCCCCTGGATAGAGTGCTATGACATCACAGCTCACAGCAACCTCCAACTCCTGGGCTCAAGCGAGT